CGATTTACGGAGGCGGTGATAAGTTGGCGAGGCACGTTCTGGGGATTCACCCTAAAGGCACGGCCAGGACACTCTGAGCAGGACCCAGAACAGCCTACCCACTGGGAGGGCTGAAGAGGGCATCAGAGAGAACCCATTATTCCTTTCTTGCTCAACCGAATAGTCATTGTGCCCCAAGGTACTCAACCACCTGCGATCAAACATTTTTCAGAAACAAAGCTGGTATCCAGCCAATGGTACTAGGAGAGCTGGGTGAGGATGAAAGAAAAATGTACTCAAGTCAAGGGGCAGGGGCTGGCCTTGGACTTTAGAGGCTCCCTATGAATAGCACTCATCTCAGGGAATTAGAGAGAAATGACCAATGATTCCAGCAGAGAAAGGGTTTTGTGGGGCTCAGTGTTATCATCTGCAAAAATACAAAGGGGTAGATAGCACTGAGTTTGGATTCAGAATGTCAGCTTGCAATGCCAGCTCTGGAACCAGTGGAAAATACATGTCTGCTAGGGTTGCCGTAATAAAATGCCACAAACCGGATGGCTGAAACAACATGCATTATTTTCTCACAGTTCTGGAGGCTGAAAGTCCATGGTCAAGGTGAAGGTGCTCTTCCTGGCTCGTAGACGACCACCTTCTTGCTGTGTCTGCACGTGGCCTTTCCTCTGCTTTCATGTGGAGAGAAAGAGAGCTCTCTCGTGTCTCTTTGGGGGTTGGCGTATCAACATATGAATGGTTTTTTGGGGGGCGGGGAGTGGACACAGTTCGATCCATAACACCCTGATTTATCTCTTCAGAATGAGATCGTTGGCCTCAGCCTCGTTCAGGTGGTGGGAAAAATCTGAGATCTCAGGCACGCATTGAGAGTCAACTTAAAAAGCCAAGATGTCTTGATTCTTGGCAAAGTTAAACCAGGTCCACTTGTAGACAACTCGTTGTTACTTTTGATCGTGGGCCCTCGTGGAGTTGAGAGTTTCGAGAGAGAGCTAGAGATGTGGGATTTCACTGGCACACAGAGAAATATTGAGGGTGAAGTGAATAACATCTTACTAAGGGTCAGAAAAGCCCAAGGTTTGAATTTAATGTCTGCCTCCTTCTCTCTGGGAGAGTCTGGGCAACTGGCTTAACTTCTTCGATCTTGTTTTCCTGATCCATAAAATTGAGGTCATCAAAATACTCTTTATTTTCCCCACCAAACCTGGTCATCCCGTCATCCCCTCTCGGTAAGCGGCACGACCATTCAATTCACCTGGATGCAAGGGTCACACTGGGTCCTTGTTTTCCCCTTCTATCCAAATCCACCAGCCCATCCTACGGACCCTACTGTTACCCTCACCTGAATCCAGGTGCTACCTCTCTAAACCAGCCACCGACATTCTCCCGGTGTACTGTGACAGCTGCCTCACCAGTCCCCGCCGCTTGTCACCTTTGCCTCCCTTTCATGTTTCTCCACGTGGTATCTAGAGCGAGATCGTGTTGCTGCTATGATAAGAATCCCAGATAATCCTCCATGACACTTTGAGAAAATGCTAAAAGCCCTACTCTGTCGGACCTCTGACGTTCCCATCCCTCGCTCACCCAAGCGCCCCTCCTGCCATTCCTCGAATGCCCCAAACGCAATGCCATCTCGGGGTATTTGCATCTGCATGTCTGTCTGCTGGAAACTCTATTCCTTGAAGACATCGGGGAGGACCCCCGTTCGCTGTTTTTTGAGATCTCTGGGGTTCCATGGCATCTGCTTAGAAAGGCCTTTCTTAGCCACTCTCTCTAAAGTAGGAACACCCACAATTCTCCCTTCCTCTCTTACCCTGACTTACTATTTTACAGGGCGATTATCTGTACCTGAACTAATCCTCCACACTCACACCCATGTCTAAATCCATCTCCATATCTATAAGTGCGTATATTTATTTGTTTATCTCTTTCTCTGCTACCAGACTGCGGGCTCCGGAGATGAGGACTTTCTCCTGTTCAATACTTTACCTCCGGTAAAATCAAACAGCGCCTGACAAATAGTAATGCCACCGTCGAGCCAAGAGGCTTGGTGTGAGGGTTTTACGAGACAATGCGGTGAAGTCGCCAGGCCAAAACATGGCACAAGGTAAGCAACGGGCGATTACTGTCACCTTCGGTCAGTGTGGCGATCACGACTCGCTTTGCGATCATTGGAACGTCATCACGGGCGTTCAGGCAGGCAGGGAGTCGATGAGGATGGCTCTCAA